CTGGGCATACTATCCCATAGCGGCTAGGTTATATAAAGACTTCACGTTCAGACACGCTCTTACGATCTCTGTGGAGTCATATGATCTTTTGACTCAAGACCAAGGCCTGTGAATTAAGCTTATGTGGCAAACATGCTGTCAATTCCAACTTTTAACAGTGTCTTTGAGATGCATTCCTTCCGAGTTAACCCTCACAATTTTAAAATGTAGAATCTGCCCCTTTGCCAATACAATAAGTCAGGAAGACACTGGGTGGGGTTGTCACCGGTGCAGCCATTCTTAAAATATCATCTGTTATGTTATCATGTACTCGTGCTATGATTGTTATCATCGTAGGATTCACTGATGTGGATCATATTCCTTTGGCACTTGCAGTATGATCACCTGTTGTTTGGCCTTCCTTGTCCAAATAAAACGGCAGAAGATACGCGATATATTTTTGAATAGTTATCTCCATAATCCATCTTTTGTTTATGTTGCATTCCCCATGTGTCACAGGGATAAACTGTATCGTATCGGTTTTGAAATCTCATCTCTGTTTGTGATTGTCGCTATTTATCGCCTAAGTTTCGTTCTCGATGATGAACCCCTATGACACTTTGCAAAACCTTATCCAGGAGATGCCTTGAAATATAAATCTAATGGATTATCTTTTGGTTGTGTTGATCAGTGTGACGGAGGCATCAATGGAGGAGAGATGGCTATTTTTGCCTCCAGAGCGGGGCCGGGCCCCTGCTGGCACCCAGCGTGCTTTGTTTGCGCCACATGTCAAGAACTGTTGGTGGATCTGATATATTTCCACCAAAATGGCAAGACTCTCTGCGGACGACATCACGCTGAGCTTCTCAAACCACGGTGCTCTTCTTGTGACGAGGTAATACACAGTACTAGCACTACCCACTTAATGTTTAACAATAGCAATGTCCAAAAAACTAACAGAGTATGTGTCTCCTTTCAGATCATCTTTTCCGATGAGTGCACTGAAGCAGAGGGTCGTCATTGGCACATGAAGCACTTTGCCTGTTTTGAGTGCGAGACAATGCTAGGTGGACAGCGCTACATCATGAAAGATGGCCGGCCCTACTGTACTTGCTGCTTTGAGTCTCTATATGCAGAGTACTGCGAGGCCTGTGGTGAAAACATTGGTGAGTTATATTGTTGAGGTGCTAGCTTTCTTGTTTCTCTTAGGATTCAACTAAAATGTTGTATACCCTAGCTTGAACACTGCTGTTCAAGCTAGGTAGATATTCGACTACTTGTGTAGATGTTCTAATCCCAATCTTATGATGGTTTTATTTTCATCCTACCATGTCCAGGTGTTGACCATGCCCAGATGACCTATGAAGGTGTACACTGGCATGCCGCAGACCAGTGCTTCTGTTGTGCCCAGTGCAAGACGTCCTTGCTAGGCTGTCCCTTCCTTCCAAAGCAGGGTCGCATCTATTGCTCAAAGGCCTGCAGCCAGGGGGAAGATATTCTTGCCTCCGACTCATCTGATTCTGCCTTCCAGTCTGCACGCTCACGTGAATCACGGCGCAGTGTGCGCATGGGGAAGAGCAGCAAGCCTGCCGAACAGTGGAGACAGTCACAGCTGATCAACCCTCCAGCCTCCGTCCCCGCGTTTGAGGATAAGTTTGGAGATGGAGAGGCTGATTGCGACATTGGTATCGTAGGGCGTAAGCTGGCCCGTCTAGGTCTGGAGGAGGAGAGGTTCTGGAGGGAGCGGGAGGAGCAGGATGCTGGTGGAGACGAGGATCCAGAGGAGTGGGCCCAGCATGAGGACTATATGACTCAGCTCCTTCTCAAGTTTGGAGACCGCGGGATGTTACAACAACTTCAGCAGCCGTCCCTAAAATCTCCCAGTCCTAGCAGTGATAGACCCAGGGTAATGAGTGTCTCAGACCCCTGGCTAAAACCTGATACAACATCTTTGGGGGTCACCGCCTCCTCTCCCACCCCTGCCAGTCCAACCCAGAGCCAGACTTCCAATCAATCCCGGACCAACAGCTTCAGCCCCGGACTGATGAGCAAGAAGCATCTGCCTGAAATGTACTGGGCCCAGTCCCAGGACGGGTTGGGGGACTCAGCCTATGGAAGTCATCCAGGCCCTGCCAGTGCCAGAAAGATTCAAGAGTTGGAGTTGGACCAGGATCAGGAACAATCTGGGACAGGAAGACGGGCCTTCTGGCAAGACAACAGGGAGTGGTACGATGACTCCCTTGAGTGTATCGCTGATGAGCTGAGGAAAGTTGAGCAAGGCGCAGGAGACTCCATGGACTCCTTGGCACTTTCAAATATCACTGGTAAGCAGACTGCTTGTTGCATGTGTTCAGAGAAAAGATTGACCTTCTTATTATATCAACAGCTTTTTAAAACGTGTCTCTCCCGTTTGCTCTTTTTAGGTGCATCAGTGGATGGAGATGGAAGGGATAGACCCATGGTCTACAGCCTTGCCATTCAGAATCCATCAGTTGTAGATGACTGCGAGAAGATGAGCAACATGGGGACCTTTAATTCATCTCATCTTCACCACAGTGCCAACTCTCTCAACCTTCACATGGAGAAGGGAGATGATGAGGACGTAGCATTGGCAATGAGGGGAGGAGCACCAGGAGGACATCTCGCAATGTCCCCACATTCGGAAGGCCTCCCTTCCTCCTTCATCCATGCACCAGCTCTTAGGAGAAGCAAGTCCCAGTCTCGGCCTCCACAGATGGTCAAGTTTTCAGAAGACACAGTGGACAACGGATATAATGATGGGTTCGATGTCAATATTAGAAGGCATCCAATGAGTGAGAAGCCACAGCGGAGGGCATACTGCTCGGAGGAGATGGGCCAAGAAAGAAGCCGCCCATCCAGCCAGCATGGGCGCAGCAGGCAGCATCACCAACACCACCGGGAGGGCCGGCACCACAAGAGCCGCAAAGCCCGCTCAGACAACAACCTTCACTTGGTGCCTTTGGAGAAAGCACAGAGGCCATATGAGCCTCACCAGCAAGCACAGAGGCCGTTTGAGCCCCAGCAGCAGGGTCTAGTGAACCCCCCTTGTGGAGGCATGGTCCCACAGCATCCTGCACACAGGCTGCCTTTGGCCTACTCCCAAACCCGGTCAGACTATATGCTTCAGGGTTCAGCTCAAGGAGACCCACGACTAGAGCAGTTTATGAATCTATACAGAGATGAGGATGACTGTTGTTCTACTTGCTCTTCCTCATCATCGGACTCTGAGGAAGAGGGCTATTTCCTGGGCCAGCCAATCCCTCAGCCACGAGCGGCAGGGCGGTACTACGCTGAGGACTACCCTACAAGGGTTACAGCCCTCACTTCCCTGAGTCATGGCTCACAGACTGGTCGCAGGAAGAGCCACCGCTCCAAAAACTGTATCATCTCCTAACAGCTCTCAGTGCAATTACATTATAACCTGCACTATGCTCAGCAATAAAGTCAGATGTTCTGATCATATGATGGTTTTGCGGATCAAACCCATTTGTAGATATGGCCTATTACAGAAGGTGCTTGGCCAGATGTCAAGATGCATATCATATTTAGGCCCAATTGTACTGAAAGAAGAAATTAATTCAAACAACTCTGTGTAACATATATTCAGAATAGAAACATTTGTTGGTGTATGTTCAAATTTGGTCTTCATTTAGCACTAAAGGATAGACTGGTACATTTGGAAGTCTTTTTTGATCAGGATTAGGCAGAGTGGCAACATAAAACCTTTTGTTCTTTTCATAATTTGCCATTAAGTTGTTTTTATTTGATGTTGTACTATTCTTGTTATGTTCAGTTATACATTTTGCAGCAATATCTTTGTGAGCATTAAAATGGAAACGCATTGTACAAAGAGTTTGATAACTTAGAAAATAGAATCAAACCAAATAATTATTTAATGCATTATAGTACAAAATGATAATGTATATACTAAGTTAAGATTTTAATACTGGTATTTTTATATCCGTGGTTTAAAGAATTGTTTTCTTGGAAGTGTATGCTTTAGAAAAGAGCAGGTGTAAAGGTAAACGAACAGACCTCGTTATAATATTTTATGCGAAACAAAGAAGGTGCCACTTAATAAACTGTGTTCTTCACGGTAAAGTGCCATGTTACTCTGTAACAATGTCTATTACATATATTCCACAATGCTTACTATTGCCGTACCAAATACGAAACAAATGGCAGTAACACTTGTATTTTCCATATTCAGCTGAACTGTTCACTACCCTTGCTCTGACATAACCAGATAAATGCTTTGTGATGTAAAAACGCTTGTAATAAATATTTTTCTCCTCTCAAAGCTTCAAGGATGACTTTTCTTTTCCTCATATATTTGACAAAAGTGGATTTTAAAATTACAGGATGTATCCTTTTGCAGGGTATACGCAGGAATCCTGAAGTCAAATGTAATACCTTTTTAAGACCTTTTTTAAGACCCTTTCCATACATTTTAAGACCTCATCGCCACTTCGAGTTCTAACCGGTTACATTGGCGACACACTTTACCTCACATTGACTTTATACAGTATTGATTGTCCTTCCTCCTTATCTTCCAACCATTTGGACGCAGACTTGCATTTCCCCATAACGATGTTGTTTAACAACCGCCGTAAACGGACCTTCGCGCGCTATCAAGCAGTGAGCGTGCGATGTCCTGTTCAGATGACGTCAAATCCAACGGGATGCCATAAATAAACTACGAAGAATCCCACTACACACCTACGCAATGATTACATTCAGGCAAACTGTAGAATACAACCTCTTTGGACAATTTATATACTTATTACTTACAAGCTACAAAATGTAATACCTTGGAAAATGCCATTTAATACTTTTTAATAGCCTTCATTTTCACTAAATTGATTTATCAACTTTTAAGACCGCGCGGACACCCTGTTATGGAATGTAGTGTTTGATAATGCCAGTGAACCAATCCTCAAGTGTCACTATGTCAGCGGGATATTTGTGTAACTTGTGTAAAAGATCACAATACCTCAAAGTTAACAGGAATCATGTTTACTGCAATCTTTAGAGAAACCTCAGTTTGTGCAAACACTGGTCTCAACGTCATCAAGAATAATGAAGCCTTGTGCGGGTTCTTCTGGGAGGAAGAGAGAATAGAAAAAGGCAAAATGAGACGACAATGAAAACGCAACCAAACTGGCATTTCTCTAGACAGTACAAATGTATACAATGATGTAGAACTGTAAATGAAGTAGCACCAAGTCATACATCTCACTGCCACAACAAGTCTTTGTATTCCCAACAACATATTTTCATCAAAACAGGTTTAATAACAAAACCCATGTTAACCATTACCACTGTGATGTGACTTTTATAAAGAAAGTGATTTATTTCACCCAACATGACAGAAAACAGTTTTTAATCATATTTAATAGTTAACATCTTTCAACAGAGACCGTGAAGTAAAAAAAATGGTCTGTTCAAAATTAACACTGTTCATCCACACATGCATGCTGTCCCGTGTTCAAGTTGCTGAGGGAAGTCAATTCAGGTCCAGCAATTCCAAAATATATCCGAGTAACCATCATGTTCATTCTCTCATGGAGCCGATGTGTCAGTAAGACGAGCTGTGATTGGCTGCTGCCTTTATGAGTTTATGACCCGTTGATGGGGTGGTGGAGTCGCACACGGAGGCTTCTGGCTGCCGGACCACCTCGTCCAGCTCGTTGATGAAGTGTTTGAGATCCTCCAGGCATCGCTCGCGGATCTCCCCGAGGTTCTCCCTCAGGGGAACCTGCAGCTGCTTCTCCAGGTTGGCGTCTTTAGCCACCAGCATCTTCACCACCATGCCGAATGTCTCGCAGTCCTGCCGGTACACCTGGAAGTGCACAGAAGCAAGTTAGTTAAAGTGGACCTATCATGCTATATTTGAATAATATAGTGTAGGACCATACCTATATAAGGCATATTTATACTTTTTTTTTTTTTTCAAAATACCAAACAGATCATGCATTTTAGCCATGCCTCATTTTGCTCAATTTGACATTTTTTAGATCTGTTTTAGCAAGGGTTGATTCTGTGAGAACAGCACCATCTACAGGCCTGGCATATGTACTACAACGTCTCCAGCGCTTTCGAACGGCAATGCCGTGGTTGTCTCCTCCTGATTGGTGGAGTTGGCCCAATAGCCGTAGCGCCACTGACGTCAGGACAGTGTTCAAATCTGGATCAGTTTTTATCAGATCCGTTGCAGACCCTTTTTTAGAGATTTGGGTATGAAGGAAAATAGAGAGGGTTGTGTTTTCTGACACTTGGTGAGTTCCCTGGAACACCGGGGACACATATTCATGTAGAAAAGACGTACAAAAGTGCATGATAGGTCCCCTTTAAGTTAGAGTTAAATGTTCCATATCATCCCTTTCCTGTAGTGTGTTATTTTGGTTTTAGGTGCATGCAAGTACTCAGCACAGGCAGTATGAGAAACATTAATACCTTTTTGAACATGAAAGCACGGAAACATGTCACGGTAGAGGTAGAGGATGCACATAACCTGGAAATGAGAATATGTCCTCTAAAAAAGCTTTTGGGCAAAACAAATTCAAATCGAATCTTTCCTCTAAGGAAAACACATCTACATCCATTCTCATGTATAGTTTAGGTATTAAAAGTGGGGCTGGGCAATATACATCCATATTTTAAAAGATAGGACACTAGACATTGTCATTTGATTTTGGATCTTGTGATACAAGTGTGGTTTTTCCCTTGTTTGAAAACAAAAAGTTATGACATTTTCAGAACTTACCTCACTGTTTTAGCCGTTCTATTATTGCTTGACCCACTTAATCATTATCTACTACCAATCATTATCAAAATGTTCATGTTGCAAATATTCTGTGAAAGCATTAATGTTAAACTAAAACAATATTGTCACCGTTTTGATATTGAGGTATTTGGTCAAAAACAAGTGCTATCTTTCAAAGAGAGATATCTGGGCTATCCCCATTATTATTATTGTGTTACCCTAATGGTCCTGGGGAGGCCAAGGTATCAAGGTATAACAAATATATTGTTATACGATTTCTTTGAATCGCCCAGCCCTACTGAGGAGTGTAAAGAGGTCAAAGCCTATAAAAGAAAACGTTTCACCCCCTCAGTTAGGTTTCTTGTTTCCTTCCTGCCTAACCTGGCGCCTAGGTGTAAATATCCCAGTGTCATTGAGGCCGAGCGGATCATTCTGGTGTCAACACACATCACGCAGTGTCAAAAGATAAACACTTTTCCTCTCAAGTTTAATAAGGGCCCTTTTTATATAGGACAGGGTGGCCCAAGAAGCAATAAAAGCTCCCCTTTAGAGGCTCATAACAGGTGTGAGAGGGACAATGAGGAAGAGGTGCTGGAATCTTGTTTGGGAGCTGCCATTTCACACCCAGCCTCAAATGTCTCATAAAAACAATGCAGGGGGTGGGGGCTTTTACATGAAGAGGACTGATTAGCAAAACACCAGAGGATCGTTTCTGATTCCTGATCATTCACATGAGCTGACAACGATAGACAGTGAAGAAGTGGGAAAATATCACGGTGTCATAATAGTAGTTCAGTCGTTTCTGTTGCCGTCTGGCAGACGTTACCGCAGCATCCTGGCAAGGACAAGAAGATTCGGAGACAGTTTCTTCCCGCGGGCAGTGAGACTGTTAAAAAATTGAACTGTTGAAACAACTTCAAACATTCATCTGCTACTCAGTAGTATGTATCTAATACCTAATATATATATATATCATTCCAATAACTTGTATATAGACTTGTACTGCACTATTCCACATCATCACTTTATTTTATAACTATTATTCTTTTTGTATTGCTCTTGCTCTTATTGTTATTATGTTATTATGTTGCATTGTTGGAGAAGCCTGTGACATAAGATTTTCAACTACATAATTACTCTGTAGCTATGTCAGATTGACAATAAAGAACCTTGAACCTCAGTCAGACAACTCACGTGTTTCTTAATATGTTTATTAGAAGCAGCATATAGTTGAGTTTGGCGTCTAGGCTCGGGCCTCATCACTCCACAGATTTACAAAGAACATTGAGTGATGATTGGATAACTATCCCCCCGAGCCTACAGGTGGAAGCTGGGGTGGAGGTGGTGGGGTGGTGGTGGGGCAGGCGAGCAGCAGCAACATGAAACACAGCAGCAGGAACATGAACGCAGCAATAGCAAGTGAACACAGCAGTGGCTGCAGCAGCAGCGAGGCAGAGGCAGGAAGACCTGGCAGCTTAAATAGAGCGGCATGTTTAGGAGAAAGTGTTTGGTTGGTTGTAAGAGGGACGAGGTGCGTCACGTGTTAATGTATGATTGGTGCTCGAGTTGACTGCCTGAACTAGCTCGCAGGCTTCGCCCCATTACTTTGTCTGTATAGAAAATATTTTTTTTCCACAGAAAAAGTACCAGATTGGCTGTGGATGGTTCCCACACATATCTAGGCAGGGTCCTTTGCTGCATCTCTCTGCCTTGTTTCCTGTTGTCCCTCCTCTAGTGTAATCTAATAATAGCTTAAAGTGCTCCAAAAATAAACGAGAATTACTGCCTTGCAGCAAAACGCCCATCGTACCGGTCACGTTGCAGTTTTTAGACATTTGTGTGACTGTGCAAGTGTCTTAATTAGCAGCACATGAGGCCAAAAAGGAGTTTTGTGAGGTCAGAGTGAACTTGATCTTTGACCACCAATTCAGTTCATGATGAGTCCAAGTTGATGTTTGTTCCAGAAGTCATTTCATTCTCTCCAGGGATGGACGGATTACCGTTTCTGGCTAGAGGCGTTATAGAAATACACATCAGGACGTTTTGTAATCCGCCAGTGTGATGCTCTACTTCTCTACAAAAATGGAACAGATTTTAGACACACCTCAATTTCTCTGGACTGCTGCTCACTCTTCTTTTGGTTTGTCTCCATCTGTCCCTCCACTATTTTCTCTCTAGAAAGTTGCTCTCCATCTTCCCTGACTGAGCGGGAATGTATTACCGCGCTGATACGGCTACTTATTAAGTCGTGCCGCGGGCGGACACAAGGGCACCTCCAATGACGAGGCCTGTGTGTTTATACGTGTGCCTGAGAGTGTAAAATTAGGCCAGGCCAGGCTGGGTTTCAGTCGTTCACCGGATACCAACGCTGGCTTCGATGCTGCGGGGCGTTCAGGCTCGCTGGCTTATTTATAGCTTTTCACTACGTTCCTAGAGCAGAGAGCATAGCCGGAGTACAGGAGAGATCACAAATAAAGATCTGTTGTCAAACACAGTTTATGTACAGGAGGCAACTTTCCAAAAACCTGCACTGCATGAAAGAAAATGTCCAGTTTAAAACGTAAACAAGGGATACTTAACTTTGTTGTTAGGGGGGGCCACATTAGAAATAATAGGAGTCCAGGGGCCACTAAGGATTACTGTGGTTTAGCCCAAACATCTGTCTTTGGGAGATAGCGCTGGGCGATATGAATAAAATCATATACCACAATGTTTGACCAAATACCTCAATGTTAATGAGGTTTTATGACCATATTGTAAAGGTAGACCATTAGTGCTTTTACAACACGTTTACACAAAGAGAATGTATTAAATAATATGTAATGTGGATTTAACATATAAGCATGCAAAGACCAATTACAGATCAGCTAGACGACCTGATAAATTCACAAAATGATATCACTTAGCTGTTATGCAGCCAAGAAAGCAAAACACTTTACAATATCCTAAATGGTAAATGGACTGTACTTATATAGCGCTTTATCCAGTCTTTAAGACCCCTCAAAGCGCTTGACATTAGGGCTGTGCAATTAATCGTATTTTAATCGCAATTACGATTTTGGCCTGCCACAATTACGAAAACAACATAATCGAAAAAAACGATTATTTTGCTTTGCTAGGTTGTGACCGTGCACTACAACATATTTGATCTAATTTATTTTAGTCTAATTTATTTGTATTTATCATATTTACATATGTTTAGTAGCTTGTTGAAGTGCGCTCCAAAATATTTGTTGATCTTGTTTATTGGTATTTATTATTTTGATATTATTTATTTAAATGAATTATACGTTCAGTGTAATCAACAGTTAAAAATATACTGTTCAAATTATTATTTGTATTTGTTTTAAAGTTCAATAAATGGATGTTTTCAAAGTCAATGAATAATCGTTTAATAATCGTGATATCAATTATTGACCAAAATAATCGTGATTATGATTTTTGCCATAATCGCACAGCCCTACTTGACATACATGTCGTTCACCCATTCATAGAGAGCAGTGTATGTTACTCTAGGAACTAACATGCATACACATTCACACACCGTTGGCCATGCCATCGGGAGCAACTCAGGGTTAAGTATCGACATGTTGACTGCATGGGCTGGGATCGAACCCACAACCTTCTGGTTGAAAGACGACCGCACTGCCTCGCAGCCACAGTCGTCCTATCTGAAACAATATCTTATACCACAATATTGATACATTTCCCAGACCTAGTGGGATCATATTCAACAAGCTTCATTAGTGTATGTATGCATTGTTATGCACAAACGGACATTTTTCTTTTCACTTTTATTGTTAATAAGGTACCAATGTGTTTCAATTAATATTGATTCTGATAATAGAAAAATGGTATCACTGACCGACCAATCAGAACGGTTTCCTCCTAATATTATCTACTTAGCGACTTCAGCGTCAACGCATGAGATGAGAGCTTCTTACTGTATTCCCTCTCTCTTGACCCACAGCAAACTCTGTCAGTGTTGTGTGAACAGTTACAAATCCGGATTGTAACAATAGGATAAATTCATTTACAGGAAATGTGAGGACACACGTAGAACATGAGGATACAAA